CAGGTACCTCCCACGGCACTGAGCACATGCATGACCCAGGAAGAGCCTGCTGCTCACCTGAGCGCCTGCAGTTCTCAGGGCCTGCAAGGGCCTTCCACAGCATCTCTTCCAGTAACTTCTCTCTCTCTCTCTTTTTTATTATTATTTGAGAGGTTTTTGCTATAGAGTTTGTGCGCTCACCAGAAAGACAAAGAGAGGGAAAGCGAGAAATCATCCCCCAGGAGGGATGGCCACACCACAATCCCTTCTCCTCCATTCTCCTCTCGGGATCTTGGGCATGCACGCACATGCGCCCAGCCTGAGTTTAAGCCACCGGGTCCAGAACTCGAAATGCAGTCGACTACACAGGAGTTCAGCAATATAGATATTACGCTAACTGCTGGTCCCTGAGGAGCAGTTTTTGCTATAGGGCATACGTACTCGCTGGAAAGACAGAGACAAAGAGACAGAAAGCAAGAAATCATTCCCTTCTCCATTCTCCTCCATTCTTGGGATCTTGGGCTCGCATGCACATGCACCCAAAGTGAGTTTAAGGCTCCGGGTGCAGGACTCAAACCGCAGTCAACTACATGGGGGTCCAGCGACATAACCATTACGCCATCTGCTGGTCCCCTCTTCTGGTAACTTTTAACCTAGAGGGCACAACAGAAGCAGCAGGGACAGGTATGTGTCCTGAGACAGTGCTCTGGGGGCGCCAACCCAGGCGCTCACTTAGAGAACAGAACCCGAGTGTGAGGGGGCAGGGAAGGAGCCAGAATCCCACAGCTAAGGCAGAGTCCTGGCAAACTAACCATTTCGAAAAGCACAGCCGGGCCCAGCCTCTGTGGCACAGTTGGTAGGGTACTGGACTGGGGAGCTGGCAGCCACATGCCAACACAAGTCCCCAGCTCTGCAGGCCTAAAAACACACCAGGTGTGTGTGCATGTCTAGGATGCTAGCGGGCCGGAGGAAAGGGATCTTGGCGTCACTGAGCCTCCCACACTCCCTCCCTTTCTCTCTGTGCTCTGCGTGCACACACTCTAGTATGGATCGGAAATCATTTTTTTAAGAGGTTTTTGCTATAGGGTGCGTGCGCTCGCCAGACAGACAGAGATAGAGAGACAGAAAGCAAGAAATCACCCCCCGGGGGGGGGCGTGGCCACACCGCCATCCCCTCTCCT